GTTTGACAAAAATATTCAGGGTTTGTAAAAAGCGAGGAGGATATTTTACAAAAGGACAGATTTATATCATTTTAGGCCATGAGAATTAAAGGTGTGTTTGTTAGCTGCAAATATACATGAGAGCATCACCGGAGTTCAGGGTTACCTATCATAAAGCTTTACAATCAATGCCCACATTATTTATGAATAGCAAATCATACCTACTTAACAAAATGAACCATGTGACTAAGTTTGTATTAGGACAACTGATTTTCTTTAATTTATAAAAATGATACGGATTCCAGTATCAGGGAACAATTTCTAAGCTTCTAGATGACACAAAATAGGTCTAGCTAGCAGCGAAGAATATTGTAAGCAACTTCAGGGGGACATGATCAGATTTGTTGATTGGGCAGGCAAATGGCAGATAAGTTATTTCAGATAAATGTGAGGTTGTACATTTTGAGAGGAAGAAGGAAAGGAAGAGTGTTAAGTGATACATTTTAAAAGGAGTGGGAGAGGGGCCTAAATTCTTAAAGGTGGGAAGGTAAGTGGACACAGCTGTCAAGGGCAGATAAACAGAACTGAAAAGATTGCTCTTAAAAGAGTCAGCACAAACACAATGGGCCAAAAGGCCTTCTTCTGTGCCATAAGTTTCTATGATTCTAGGATTACCTTGCTAGAGTGAGAGTTTGCTTTGATCTTTGCATTTGTTCTGAAGCCTGTAACACTGAGAACATTTCAAAGCATTGTACATTGTTTTGTGTGTACTTGGAGGTGAGTGCGACAGTCAATTTGAGTTAACTGAGCACAACAATGAAGTGAATGACCAATTTTCCCTGAAAGATTGCTGACCAAGATATCAGAAGAAACTAACTCCCTTGTCTTTTTGGACACTGCTACAGGATGATTAACATCCACCCAAAAAGATGGATAGGACCCTGATTTAACATCTAGCAATGTGGGTTTTCCGTGAACCCTTGGTTACCTAAAGTGAAGTATACTTCTGGTGTGAACTGGCTAGCTTCCTGTGCAGGAAGCTTGCTGGTCAGCCGTCACTAGAAATGTTAGAAACATTCCCGACAAACTGTCCGGCTTCCTGTGCAGGAAGACAGCAGGCCTCAGCAGAAGTGACATTGTGACCTGGAGGCAGGAGTAACGTGCTTTAAATTCATTAAGTAGACCAAATTATAACTGGTTCCTTCTTTTCGGGGACCAATTATAACTTGGGTCTAATTAATGAATCCAAAGCACTACATTATAACAGCCATCCTGTATTATGAATGTTCAAAAGGCATTTGACAAGAGTATTCAACTGCACTGGTAGTAGAACTGAAGAAGAATGGAATTACTTTGAACACAATTTTGCTGATAAGAAAAAGAGAAATTGTATATAGCCATACTAGATCTGGGAGAAGTAGCTAATCGCATTACTTAAGAGAAACCATCCTTGTAATTTTGAGTGGCTTCAACAAGGGAAATTAAACAGTCAATTTGCAAAGGACATACAGTTTTGTGGAATAACAATATAAATTACAGAAACAGAAAGGCAACAAAATCAACAGACTGAGTAAGTGGGCTGGTTAGTAATGTAATATGGATAAATGTAAAACACTGAGGATAAGATAATTGCCTGTACAATATAGGATTGGTAAGTTTGATAAAGTTGCTGCAATTGGATGTGGTCTCAGTTGAATCGTTAAAAAAAGCTGCAAGACAGACATCACTTGGCTTATGATAAACAGAAAGAAGTTATGCAAGCTGAAGGTTGCACTATTAATGATGTTTATTACAGTACTGTATGAAGCTTAGGACACCACACCTTCAAGCGGATAAAATGAACTAGTAATGGTGCTGAAAAAAAGATGTGCTTATTGACAAATAAAATTATCAATATATTTTAAAGACAATTAGGATTCAGTTTCTGACTCACTCTCTTCTACACACGTTCAAAAAAAAGTAGAGCTGGTGTTTTTTTTGAAAAAAACGTACAGGAACACTTTTCCATTTGTGTAGGCATTAAAGATGCTAATGTTAGTCACCTCATTGTCCAAATGCAGACTAATAGTGGGATTACAGTACTCTCACTACAGTGGGACATTTTCTATTTCCTAAAACATTCTGATCAGCTCTCTGATGAGATTGCCAATTCATTCAAAATTACAGACCTCTATAAACTGAACCTTGCTGGAACCTGGACTAAGACTGTTCAAATACATCTTACAGTGTATTTTATTCTACTATATTCGACTGAATTTAAGACTAGATCCCAAAGATGAAAAAAAGTGTGGTGAGTTCTCCATTGCAAACTTTACCTTATTTGATTTTATCACAACTCATCATTCCCCTACCACTATCTTCCTCCTCTCTCTGAATCCTCACTATGTTCAAATAAAGATTTGTTAGTTTCCTACACCTACTTTCTCAGGGCTTAAAAAACTGTGGAACCCTTACCTTGCCTTCTAAAAGGTTTTTAAAACCTATGCAATATTGGTAATTCCAATTTTATTTCCTTCATTAATGTCAAGGTTTATAGAACCGATATGTTAGCCTTCAAATTCCACATTATTTAATTTCCCTTCCTTCTGCGGCTCATAGGCAATGTATGAGCTTTTCCCAATCTTCACCCGATGGTCTCAAAGAGATATATGAGCAGCTTGGCAATGACTACAGGTTTTTGTTCCCTACGGGGATATGCCTGCCTCTGTTCAAAAGTGTCCTTGCTCTAGTCATCTCTGATGATTCCTCTGGTGTGATATTTGTAGTATTAGTGGTCTTTTTGACAGGGAGTAGCTTTTGTAATGTATTCATTGCAAAAGAATTATTAAACAATCGACTGTTTTTCATTTCAATAGATTAAAGATGATTTACAAACCTGCAACCCATAAAAGCCCTCAGAGGACCATGAATGCAGGAGGACAATGCGAGCTACTATAGATAATATCATGTCAACTTCATAATTCTAGTTAGTCATAGACTGGGCCAATAGAAAAGTGGGGACATATTTGCAAAAAATTATGGAGCGATTTACAAATCTCGCGGGGAATTGCGGAGACTTTGCTAACGTTTGCGGGGAAATTGCGGGGGTTGATTGGTGCTGCTTGAGGTACATTTTACTGCGACATTTTTTCACTTTATTGATAAAAACTAAACACAAGGTAATAACACATATCAGATTGTTGCAAAAAAATGTTTAATTGCCTCCTTAACAAAAACTGGGTGGCCATTTTTTGTGGTGGTGGTGAGTGGGGGCGGGGGACACACACATACACCAGCGAGGCTACAGGAGCTCACCACATCCTGCCACTCAGGATAGACACGGCACACAGACACAGGGACCCAGAGAGAGAGACGCACACTCACAGTCACAGAGACACCACACACACTCACAGACCCAGAGAGACACACATTCACAGAGACACACATAAACACACACACACACACATATATAGAAGAGACATAGACACACTCACACACTGACACACATACAGACAATCACAACAGCGGGGCCGCCGAGTGTAGCCCATTTGTTTCTTGCGCCGCACTGGGCAAGTGCGTACGAGCCGCTCCGTCCACAGTGACATCAGGTAAACAGCGCAAGCGACCCGTGGGCCAAAAACTACATTTATGGCGGGTTTGTAGCAGGCGAGGGTCATTGTAGCAGAAACGGTGCGGCCGCACTTTTCTATTGGCCCAGGCCATAGGTAAATATTGCATGAAAGATTTGATTTCACAAAGTTATACCTTACATCCTTTTCAAATGCATTTAAATGTTTAAAAAAAGTTACTAACAAAATGTCTTTTTTTCAAAATACGTCCGAAGAATTAAAAATCATTATCTTCTCAAATTAAGTTCAGCAAAAATAATTCTTGCATTTGTTATAGCGCCTCATCACATCTTCAAGACGTCTCAAAGCGCTTCACAGAATGTACTGTGAAGTGAATTGACTGTATATTTTGTGGGCAAAATCTGTAAATCTGTAACAATAAACCAACACGTTCATTTCTACTGCTGGCATATATAAAACACAACATGATTTGTTATCGTGAATTGATGATGCACAAGAGCAAACAAACAAATTAAAGCAAAAAGAACAGCAACTAATCAAAAATTTTGTTTATTGCTGAAAACCATATGCACTTTATTTCAAAATGAAATTCATAAAAAGAAAACCATTTTTAAAATTTTAAATTTGAAAATGTTAAAATTTCTTGTGCGATTTAATGCCTTTAATGCAAGATTTTAAGATTCAGAAAATTTGCCTTAAAACTGGTTGAAGTACAGTGCAACCTTGTTATAATGTGATCCCCTGGGTCCATTCTCTCAGGTGCTACATTATAAACTATGTGCAAAAGAAAGAGCTGCTGGGGAATTCCTTTCCTGTGTGCCATGTGCAAATATTGCCACTGATCTAGCCTTCACAAAGTGACATAACCTGTGCATGGTGGGTACAGAGCGCTTATGCAGGAAGTGACACTAGTGGGGTTTCCTGCGCATGTGCAGTAAAGTTAGCAGAGCATCCAGAGGATACTGCTCATGTGCAGAAAGTGACGCCAGCAGCAACCTGATGATCTTGAGATCAGCCACAGTTTTGGACAAGAAGCTGGTTATTCAATACAAGAAGCTGAATGCCTTGCTTAGGGTGGGTCTATTGCTAAAAACCAAAGGGTGTTGTCATAGCAATGAAGAACGATTTTTAGATTTATTCCTCAATACTTAACAGCAGCTTCTTCCTTTCTTTCCATTCCCCATTACAATGAGCCATGCAATTTCTGAGATCAAAGCATTGAAATTGGGACAAACTGGTATGCCTAAAAAGAGGCATAGTCATGAGGAAACCTCTAAAGATAAAAGATGCTATTGATCATATTTAATATGATACAATGTTTAATGCTGCTTTTCTCTAGTAGATTGCTCACTATGGCTATTTTGCTTTGTAAATAATACTACGTTACATACAACAAACATAATGTCCAGTTCTAGAACCTATTAACTAATCAGAAAAATATACTGTACATACCCAGTTTTATTTTTGTCCAGAATTCTTGGAGCCAGAGCCCTGAGGTAAGCACAGGTACAAATCAGGAGTAGTATTACGCTCAGCAGGCTTTGAAAGTTGAAAATTGCAGACTAGAGGGACAGAAAAATAAATTCCATTATCCTCAATTTATGCTCTGCCAATTGCAAATTATCGCACATTTTTATAATTTAGAAAATAGGCACTCCTTTGAAAATAGGAAACAAGCAACTAGCAAAGAGTTCCCACTACACAGATAGAAATAACGGTAAATTTGAGCTTTCTGTTTTGGAATTGATATTACTTAAAATCAAATGCTACTGACACCATTGCTGATTTATCTACCATGATCAGTATCATACTTATATGCACTTTAAAAACCTTTACAAACAAATAATGTGTGACATAAACCTTTCCATATATAGCTAGTATATGTGCTGTGCACTTTCAGGCCACAGTGAATAGTGCATAGAATTCAATGAACAGAAAATACAATTGAATAGTTAGCTCTGCAGTGCAACCCTGATGGGAAGCATTGGTACTGAAGGCCAATACAAAAAGCCAATCACACGGGTATGCTGCAGCGTGACAGCTTTCAATCAGTTTCCTCACAATGATTTACAAATTTTCAGTATCTATCCGTTCAGAAATGAAAATGACCGTATTCTGGCTTTGAAATTCCTTAGACTAAAAGAACTTCATTCATTTTCTCAATCAACCTCTTGAAAAAAAATTAAATTGCACATTGTGATAATCCAGGGTGACCAAAAAGTCGTAATACCATTACAATGTCTAATAAGTCTTAAAGAAAATATGATTTTTTTAAAATAGGGTAGCTGAAAAATAAAACGTTTTGGTCACCCTGTACTAATCGAGACCAACAGATGTTCAAAGAAGGTTCATTAAGCAACATCGTCTGGGTCAGTGATGCCGTGTCTTTTGAGTTAAAGAATTCTATATTTGAAAACTGCTGCTTCAATAACAATTGTTCTGCTGACAATAAATATTGGAACATGAGAAACTCATACATTTCACATTCTGCATGGACTATTATGAATGCACGTATAATTTACACAATGCAATAAGCAAGGGACTAAAACTAAAAGTGCTTCAGAGCAAGTCAGTAGCCAAATGAGTAACCCATTTCTTTCTTCATATTGTGTTTGCAGACCACTATTCTCACCGGGAAATGCTGTTCTATGAGCAACAGCCTCAGATTCTGGGTACAAACCCATATGGTCAGTTGCCTCTCCACCTTCAATGGGAACTTACTAATTTTACTGTACTCAGTCTAGGAGACCAGAGTTTGAATATCATGACCTATTTATTAGTTAACAAGATGTAAAGCTTAATAATATGACATTCAAAATAGTTTACTTTGAAAGTTAAAACATGAAATACAAAAATAATTTGTTTAAATATGGTCATGTTATGGTCAAAGTATTTCACGTTTTACTGTCAAACAATAGACTGAAAATATAAGGATTCAGAATACCATCATTTAGACTGCCTATATTTACACAAGTAATCTTTGTAAATAAAACCAGTTGGTTTAAAATGGAATGGGTTCATACAATGTAATTTCAATATGTGCAACAATCTTCTATTGTACTGTATGAAAATGATGGAAAGAGGTCAGTAGCCTTGTACTCAGCTTCTGTATAGTCATTTACCAGCTGCAGAATTGATTCAAGCGACTGAATTCTGTAAAGGCAATTTACTACAGTAAATCTCAAGGATACATTCACTCAAATGGGAAAGACAATCATGCAAAGCCCACGGACTTTAATCCAAGACCAGATATTCAATCCTGATTAGATGCACTTCAAACAATCTACTGTTGCAGCAACACAGAAACCACTGAATCTCACATAACACCCAGTCATCTTTACTAACTTTCAATTTCCTTCTGAACCAGATTTAGGGAAACCCTGATATAACATGATTGGCTTGATCCAATGTCTCAGCGACCAAGTTATAAGCAAAGTGTGGAAAAAAGGCTTATTTCAATTCAACATTGATGTCCTTTGTTGTGTGTATACCAAAAGTGCAACTGACATCACTTCCTTTGCAAACTGGAATTGGGCCATTTTTAAGCCACAGTAGATCTATGCTGCAAGTGTGCTAGTGATAATGTTGAAGGATGCTATAAAATAATTTTCTTGTGGTTTTGCAGTTTTTTTTGAAAAGGGAGTTGATTCAGAGCTTTGTTTTACTAAGAGTCCAAACATCCATTTATTCTGTGGGTTGGGTGAAAGGAAAGAAATTATAACAATCTTACTTTAGCATTGTCTGCCTATTTTTCTCTGGTCTGCCTATTTTGTTGCAATTCCCCCCCAAATTTGTTTTGCATTATTAACACCTCTATTCTTGTTTTGTTACAATCCCCCCATTTGTTTTGCATCATTAACACATCTTTAAACCATCATCCCCTGTTCTCTACCCCATTTTCCCCTTTGACTTCTTTGCCCTGCCTCCCCCCTCTCTGTTACCCATTAAAAGCCTCTCCCTCCCAACATGCCCCAGTTCTGATGAAGGGTCGTGGATCCGAAACGTTGACTCACTTTCCTTTTTCCACAGATGCTGCCTGACCTGCTGAGTGCTCCCAGCGACTTCTGTTCTTGTTACTTTAGCATTGTTAATTTTATCCTCATAGTTTGCAAATACAAATTGGATTAAGTAACTATTATACCATATCCATGTCACTCACTATTTTAAAGCTATAAATTATGGCATTTCAATGAAAAGTACAAATATAGTTAGGTGCAAGTCCTGATAACTTAAGAGCACCATGTTATGAAATATCATTATATTGGCTTGCCAAAGTAATAGTAGAGGAACTAAAACAACAGGCCAGGAGAAAATTCACATGATATTCACATGTATCCACCAACCTCCAATACGGTTATTTCAGTAACAGCTGGTAGTATTTGATGCTCTGCTCTGAATTCTCTCCAATGTGCCAACAAGTTACACAGAGTGGGGATAGAATGGCTGAATACTCAAACACCAATGGTGGGCCAGATTGAATGGAGGACATGAGCAGGGCAGTGTCTACTTTAGATGTGTGAATATTTAGTAGCTAATATAAATGAAAGAAGCATGTTTACAGCTAACCACAGCATTTTTGTAAATGCATCTACTTTTGCATCCAGAATACATTTTGGCAACTTTTGACCACAAAACTGATGGGATATGTTCAGAAAAACAATTAACAAAAGAATATAATGATAGACAAAAAATAGACCAAGGTCCACCTGGTTTGCCTTCCACCTTCCTGGCGGTCGCATGCACATATGTTCTGAACTACCTCTGTGCTATATCCCATAATGTTATTTTCTAAAAGAAAACTATCTAGTTTGGGTTTGAAGGAATCAATACTTCCTGCTTCAACCGTCTCCCTAGGGAACCTGTTCCACAGGTTCACTATTCGCTCACTGAAATAGTGTTTCCCTACATTCCTTCTGAATTTCCCCCCCCACCTCTTCAATCAAAGGCCATGTCTTCTGGTTATTGACTGAATTTAAGACTTATTACTGATTACTTATCACTTCCAGTGAGTTATGTGCCTCCAAATAGCAAGCTATGAAAAACTGAGGCTGGTGAGATCCGCCAAATAATAATCCTTTCATTTGATACAGCGCATTATCACATCGCAAAGTACTTAACAGGATATCCTGGCAAGTGGATTGACTGTGTATTTTGTGGGCGAAATACAGTAGCCAGTTTTGCACATAGAATGTCCCACAAACAGTCAAAGAGTGAATGATTAATTTTATTTGAGAGATTGTTGGTCAGGACACTGGGAGAAACTCCCTTCTCTTTTTGAATAGTGCCATGGGATCTTTACCGTCCACCTGAACAGGTAAATGTCGGGACCTTGGTTTAACATCTCATCCAAAACATTGCATTAGAATATCAGTTTAGACTCTGTGATTCCAAGTCCCAATATGGGTCTTGAACCCCAACTTTATGACTCAGAGGTAAGAATGGTAACACTAAGCCAAGCTGACACACTTGACAAATCTCAGATTAGATGTCAAATTTACACTGAATTGTACTACAACTGATCAGATTATTTAAAAAAAACACACATGTATGTGACATAATAAATTATGATCCAGCCTGGTTGAAAACGTAATTTTCATGGAAAGGGCAATGAAATTGTAAAAATATAAATCAATCCTTACATTGGTATAGCACCTTTCATGTTGGGTGGACTTCACAGGAAAAGTACTAAGGGCGAAGTAGAGTGACCCTGTATTTTGTGACCGAATCCCCCTAACGCTGCACGAAGTGCTTACACTATATGAGTTCCAAGTTCCAAATTGGGGTTCCCTAGAAGAGAGAGACTACGTCTCAACGCACTTATAAAGTGTGATGCATCACTTATGCTGTCATTTCTAACCCGAACTCTTGCATTTCATACGATATATACCTAGGGTTCCTACCACAACGTAGGACGATCAAAGATATTCAATCCTCCAGGCAAAGCTTATCAATCAACTAATCTGAAGTGTTGAACCAGTTTTCCATCTGCAAAGTGATTGACAGGGGATATGACCCAGGTTTTTAAAATGTTAAATAACCTAGATGACGTAAATACAGACAAGTTATTTGAGTTGAACTACATGCACAGAACAAGATGTAGGTTAAAAATTAACAATCCTCAAATTAGAATTCCCCACACCCTCCCTCCCCACAGGATATTGTATATGTGGAACAGACTCCCAGCAAATACAGCTGATGCAGTGTCAGTGAATTGAACAGGACTGAATTTTTATATTGTAGGGATAACTTTAGATGGTGAAGATCAAATACTCAATACAATACTGTGGTCCCTGTACTGTTTAAGCTTAGAGGCATGTTATCTGGAGGGCAGGTGAAAATGTGACAATAAATATTTTAGAATTTGCAAGAGCAAGAGATCAAATAGCTGGAGTATAGTTTGTAACAAAGGAAACTGTGCACACTCTGTGGGACAGTTGTACTTGATAGGCCTCTTTTCATTCCTTTTTTTTCTCTTTCTCCTCTAAAATAAATTATTTCTAATTATTGGACTCAAATAGCAACACATCTTCTGCACCTCTCAGCATTTTAGTCATATGGCAGA